TCTTAAATTCAGTCAAATACTCGCATACATCTATATGTTATGCCCGCACTTTAAAAAAATATTTAATCCTCTTTCTCAAATTTCGAGAAATATGGTGTCAAATACTTTATACGCAATCATTTTTTTGATAATAAAATTGTAATTCTGTTTGACACAATAGAATATCAAATGTTCACTTATCCACATAAGAGACAAAATTAGATATTATTAACGAAGCCAAAAAGAACATTTTGTTTGATTCAAATTGTGTGATAAGTAATCGCATCAAATGAGACAAAATACTGTGACAACAAAAGTTAAATGCAACTCGGACTCTATTCTAGCGAACCATAGGTAGAAAAGCTGATTTTAAAAACGGCCATACCGATGATGCTGAAAACTCGAATTACCTAAAAGAGTTGGCCACACCAGTAAACATTTAAAAAGTCCAGAAAATTGTTATAGAAGGCCGTAAAGTGCAGTTCTAGGAGATAGCTTAAATCTTCGAGATTTCAAAGACATGTGTCGGCTTCCATTTGTACATTGTGACCGAAAAGTTTCCGGAAATAAATAAATAAAACGCAAAATTCTTAATCTTCATCAATATTTATTTTATCTCCTTCAAAATATGCTCCATTAGAAGCGATACACACAAATGCCAACGTTTCTTCCAATCATCAAAACATTTTTTATAGGCGCTTTCCGGTATGGCTTTGAGTTCCCTCTGCGAATTCTGTTTTACGTCTTCTATGGATTCAAAACGCGTTCCTCTGAGTGGTAATTTGAGGTTGGGAAACAGGAAAAAGTCACACGGTGCAAGATCAGGTGAATACGGTGGCTGTTCGATGGTATTTATTGAATGTTTGGCCTTAAAATCGTTGATAATGTTGAACAAATTGAGGTGAATCGGAACAAGCCGGGCGTTGACACGTCGCATACACAAATTGTCCACCAAAATCAAACGAGCCATCTCACGACCGATGCCTAGCTCTCGTGCTATCTCTCTAACACTCACATGAGGATTTTTGAACACGATTTCCTTTGCCTTTTCAATGTTTTCGTCGGTGGTAGAGGTCGAAGGTCGTCCAGAACGCGGCATGTCTTCGACGGTCGTACGACAGTCCTGAAAGGCTTTGTACCACTCATAAACTTGAGTTTTCGATAAAACTGATTCCCCATAAGCCTTTTGTAGCATTCGCAACGATTCTGCACACGAAATTTCGTTCGAAAAACAAAATTTGATGCAAACTCTTTGTTCAATATTTTTTTCCATTGTTTTTTTCGCAACGCACTACTGAGGTGAACTGGTTTCAACAGCTGCCGTAAACGAACTGTCTGACAGATCGCGCTCATTTTTGGCATAGTAATTAAGGACAGTGCTGCCAAACTACATAAACTTAAAATATCGAAAAATATACAGCGCGCGAATTTTAAATGAGAATTTCCGAAAGCTTTTCGGTCACAATGTAAGATTATTTTTTCATGAGAAAGTTCTTTTGAAAGTGAGTACCACATTTGTTGATTGAGACCTGGTTGGAGCTGTTAAAGTGAGATAAAAATGACTTTCTTAGTCTTAGTCTAGTGTTAAATCAGCAATCAGCTAAGTGAACAACAGTAGGCGAATTTCTTCAAAAACATCTAAAAACCCTACAGTCAGCATGCAGGGTCTCCATTTTAAGATACATATGAAATTATGTTCATCGACTGCCCTGAAAAAGGATAGGGATAGCGATTGCTGCATTGCCTAGCTAGTGCATTTGAAGGAAAAATTTGACAAAAAACGGCTCTATATAAAGCAGAAGCAAGTAATTTCTTTGTAGGACAATACTCCGTGTGAAAAGTAGACGGCTTGCATCGCTAATTTGCACAAATTACACTTCGAATTGCTTCTGTATCCACTCTATTTGCAAGATTTGGACGACAGCGATTACTTATTGTTTGAAGATTTTGAAAGAACACTTTAGGGAAAGAAATTTTGGTTCGATGAAAAAATCGAAAATTTGTATTACTCTCAAAGTAGACTACTCTGATGAAATTTATTAAAACTTCGTTTTATTGGTAAACCTATGGATTAATCGGTCTATGTATTATCTACTATAGTGTGGTTTCACAAGTATTTGATCGAAATATATTTATGTGCTGGAATCAAAATTTATATTATTTTTTATTTAACTTTTAGGGGTTTTTTTTTTGGCGTTCTACATTCTCACCGAATACTCACAATTTTGGTAATACAATTTTTTAGTTACGAAATCAAGTTTAAATTATTATGTGAAAATTTTAGCGAAAAGGCAATGAAAATTCTTTAGAGAAATTGCCTTGAAATTCGCGAACGCACTTGTTACCCTGCGGAAGTGAAAGCAACAACAAAAAACAACGAAAAATAAAAAGAAAAAAGAATGGATGAAGTATTGCACAAGACAAAAACGAAACGGAAATAAATTTTCAACTCGCAACACCCGCCGCCGAATCGCAACACTCATTCACACACAAATCCGAATAGCATATCGAGTCGCAGCCTCATTTTTTATCAACACACACACACATACACATGCATATGCACTCATTCTATTCAAAACAAAAATACACTGAAAGAAAAACAATAGAAAAGTTGCAACATGCAAACAAACGGAAACGCGTACAAAATGTCAGAGTTGCGTACACTGTTTTTTTTCGCTACTGTAATTTTTATTTTTTTTTCGGAAAAGTGTAATTTAATTTTGTTTCTAAATAAATACAACAACAACAATAACAACAGAAGCAGCAACAAAATAGATTGCAACAAACGCGTGCAAACCTAAAAAATGGAAATGTTTCGTTGGCTACAAATGCGCGGGTAATTTATCGTTTTAATTTCACGTTCATTAAATTTGATCATAATTTACGGCACCATAAAATGAGCCATGGATGAAGGACGAGACACATGCATAAATTTATCCTGGCGTTTGTGCATGTGTGGATGAGTGTTGCGAAAAGTTATAAAGTTGCAAATAGACTCGCTCAACTCCAACTGCCTAACAATGGGAGATAGACATTTGGAGAAATGGTGTGGAATTGCCGGCGGATGATGAACTAATTGGCTTTGTAAATCATTTCAAAAAGGATGTGCACACTTCGAGGTGTTAGCAGGAAAATTACCTATATAGAGAGCATAAAATGCCATATTACGTACTATAATGTACTCAATGCAAATTTGTATAGATAGCAGTTTAAGTTAGCGGAAAGAATGTTAGCGGAAAATTATTTACGAATAATTAAATATAACAAATAGGTCTAAGACCAACGATGATGGGTATTTGACAATATTCGAAACAGCGAAACAGAAATAATAAAAAAAAATTTTGTTGTTGTGATTCAATACTGTTCGAAACTTCTCTATTACAATACAATACATAGTTTCTATGTTTAGTGAAATTAGCATGGTTTTCTCCGTGTTATGATTCTAGAGTAGGTTCTATACAAAAGAAACAATATTATAAATCATGCAACCAATAATGCCTCTACAAAAGAATAGTATTGAAATTTAACAAATAAAAAATAACTATTAGCAATTATTTCAATTATTTTATAGATCTTAATCAATAATCTATTAATCTATTTTAATCTTATATAACACCGCAAGTGAATTTGTTAATGAATTTGCACAGCAAATGAACAAAACTTCAAGTCCGAAAATGCAAGTCAAGTACAGTTTTGGGTCAATTGGCTAATGAACACTGCCTCTGCGTTTCAAATTTGGCAGGGTATGAGTTCAACTTTTGCAGTCTGATAAAATTATTAACGAATAATAAAATATAATAAATAGTTACAAGACCACTGATGATGGATATTTGATAATACTCGAAACAGCTGTAACCATACAAAAAAATTTAATTAACTAAAATAATAAAAAATTTTGTTGTTGTAGTTCACTGCTTCTCGAATGTTTATGACATAGTTATGTTACAACTGTAAACAATTTTAAGCACCGTTCTTACAGTACGCCTAATATAGGTTCAAAGACAATATTAAGGGAATTTGTGGAGATGATAAACTTAGCCAAACAGGGTTACCAGTCTCACCCCAGACGTACATAGAAACAATATCGGAATATCTATTTTCAATTGTAAATTATTATTACAAATAATATAAATGAATAATAATCAATAAATAAATAATTGAATCATAATAAGTAAAGTTATGTATAATACATTATATATAATAAATAAATAATACATAAATAATAATGATAATTAATAAATAAATAATAATAAATAAATAAATTAAAATAAATGAAATTATAAATAAAAAATAAATAATATATTAATAAATAATATAAATATTATCACAGTACCATTCGGAAAATCAATTTGTCCTGTTTAAACGAAGTTACCTGTTTAAACTGTAGGTTTATGAGTTCCCGAACGTAATAATATTTTGGGAAATTGCAGGACCGATGAAATTAGCAAGACTGAAGTCAATATCCTCCTTGACGTACACCGAAACACTCATTTCCAGTTATCAATCTAATTGACAAATACTTTCGCTCAACCAGGACAAATGTGTTTTTGGAATGACTGTGTTTTGTAATACTAACCTATTGTACGCCCCGGGGGAGATTAGATATCAATATTTAATATCAACTAATTGACTCACTGACGATTACTTTAATAGAATGATGTTTTTCTGAAGTAAAATTCTAGACAATGTTTTTTAACGGAAAGTAGGATTCATGTAATAAAATATTTTTATGACATCTCTATAATATCGGTCCCATAACAGGTATTTAATGTGCGACATTCTGTAAGCAATCCTCTATTTTTTGTTTATGAAGTTAAAAGGTGGAGACCGAAGATGTGAAAAATAGTCGAGAAATTTGGAAGAATTTAGTTAAATATCTATATAAAATCTAATCTGCAGTTTACCGAAAATAGAATATCGAAAACAGTTTTTAGAAAAATAGAATGTAATGGCATTTTCAAATCGAGTAAACAATATAGTTTTGGAGAATGATGGATGTCATTTAAATTTTTTTTTTTTCCATAATTGTATTCAAATAGTTTTTTTTATTTCTTAGATTTTATAATGATACAGCTATATAGTGGATAAAAATAATAACTTTTATGACTTGTATGTACTAAATACTTCATCATTTGCTTTTGTTTGATTTTTTTAAACTTTGTTACTAGAGATCTTCAAAAAGTATCTCAATATTTCCATCGACAGTTAAAAGAAAAGAAGATGACATAATTTTATTATCTTTTCTCGTACGTTCACTAGGTTTGAGTTTAAAGTTTCGTAGAGTTTTCCAAATAACGACCTTGGCTTCAACCAAACCAAGTTTCATACCTGAATAAGAAATAAAAATAAAGTATTTCTTAAAATAATGACAGTTTTAAACATTTACCTGGACAAATTCTCGGTCCATCTCCAAAAGGCAAGTAAACGCCCATTTCACGATATTTACGTAAACCACCGAAAGCTTCATCGAAACGTTCGGGCCAGTAATCTTCTGGATTTTCATAAAAGTCTGCATCGTGTTGGAAAGAATATGATGATATACAAACCACATCGTCGGGGTTAATGGTTACTTTGGAGTTATTGGAGTTTTCAAGTGTGATTTCTTCGGTACAAATTTTAAAAAGTATAGTAAGCGGTGGGAAGATGCGGAGAGATTCTGGAATATATAAATTGTATGTTTAGTTTAAAATTTATTCTTAAATAGTTGAACTAAATATTTAAAATATATTTAATACTATTAGCTTGATACAAATTGCTTTCACAAAACTCACCGTGCAAGCATTGATCCAAATATGGCAGTTCATTTAGTTCATCAAAGGTAATATCCTCAGCGGTATTTATTAATTCTTGACGTAGTTTCTCTTGCACTCGATCATTTCTAGACAACTTTAGTAAATTAATTAAAAATTTTTATATAAATAAATAAATTCCTTCAAAAAAATATTTACCAATAAAAGAAAGTGTGATATAACATTTGCTACAGTCTCAAAACCATCTATCAGGACTGTAGTTGTATGTCCTGCAATTTGTACATCAGTCAGGGTTTTTTTTTCTTTAAGTTGTAGCAAATGATTGATCACATCACAACGCTCAGTACTTGACTTCAAACGTGCCCCAGAAGCATCAGCCGCTAATTTCATAAAAAATCTATCTGCCGCTGGTGCGAAAAAGGGTACTGGCTTCAGTAAACGTAACCAAGGCCATGTAGCAGTCCGGATGTAGTAAGCCACACACTTTAGTGACTGGAGAAGCATCTTATTTGCCATTTCATGAATGGGCGAAAGCTCTGTACTGGTAAAAGCATTAGCCTCGAGACCCCAAATGAAATTTGATATGAATTCTGTTGTATAGCGATTAGATAGCTGAAGATATAAGATATTGTTTTACATTTGTATATTGTATTGATTAATGGAGAACATGTATCACTAAAGCATATATTAATCTTTAGGCAATAATAAATTTATTTTCCTAAAGCTCACCTCCTTGGTGTCCAAAAATTCGTTGGGTCTTTCTTTTATAAAATCTACTAGCTTCTGAGCGCTCTCTCTCATGGTAGGATAAAATGCACGCAACTGATTATATGAAAAAAAAAGAAGTGTAAGAGTTTGGTTTCTTTTTTATGTGGCAATATGTATAACTAACCCGATTAATAGATAAAGGTGGTGTAAATTCTGCACGGCGTTCCTTCCACGCGTCACCAGTGGTTACAAAAGGACTGCATAAACGTAGTTTCTCCACTTTTGGCGAGGTCTCAAAAATACCAGAAAAGTTTATTTTTAATTTTTAATAGCAATAATTAAAAAAAAAATTAAAAAAAATAAAATGAAATAATTGTAAAAGGTCAGAGCAAATAGAGTGTAGGACCGAATTTTTTTAAAAACGTCAGAATCTTAGGCGAAGCAGTGATTCTATATTTAACAGTGTACGAAGATTAGCCTATGTAAGTATTGTGGAAGCTATACGGATATTTTCAAAATTGAAACTTCCAGTAAAACTATATTGCAAAGCAAGTTGTGCAAAAAGTTGATAGTATGCCTAAAGGCAATATATAGCTTAGACAGTCAGAACACTTTTAAAACTTTGGAATACATTTTACTCCCATTGAATGTTTTAATATTTGAGAAAATGTTAATACATATATCATTAAATAAATTTCAAAAAATCGTGTTTAAGAGAATCAATCTTACCCATTTCGAAGATTCATTATCTCGAAAATGTTTGAAATGTTTTGTTAAAATCTGTACTGCTAATTTTGGTTCCACTATGAACAATTTTGGACTGCGCCCGGAAAATAATCCAACAAATTTTTCGGTAGTTTTGTAATATCTAAAAAAATTTTATTTATACCAATACAACTTAAGGTAGTGCAATACTCACAAATATATTTCATGCAACTCATCGATTAAATTACAAATGCCTTGTCTTGACTTTGGAAATGAGCCAGAAATTAATATTGGTTTTGGACCCTTAACACCTCTTTTTTGCCAATACTTGAAGTTCCAGCTCAAATATAAATATATAATAGAAATAACTGCAAGAATGAGCGCTGATATAATTAATAGCAGTATTAAAAGTGCCATCGTTTTAATTCATCAAGTAATCATATGACGACGGTTTGACGTTCCATCGATAACTAAAAGCTGTGAACATAAACTGAACACATTTTAATATTCAGGAAAGTAAATATTTTTATTTGATTAAAAGTGATTATCAAACGAGCCGACTTGTTCTTATCATAGCTGTGACTTTTTGCTGATATAAGAGAAGACTCTCTTAAATTAGTATAGTTCTGATTTCTAGATGACAAGAAAAATCTTTATATTGATTAGAATTAGAATTACAATTGTGTGTATTAAAATGAAGTATTAATTTTGCTGAGTCAATAGTATATCAAAATCTTTCTAAATACTAAAGTAACTGAATAGCATGATCAACAACAAGCTTATGATATGCTCGATTAAAAGACAGCTTATCACCAGATTTGAAGATATCAGTACTTAATTAAAGTATAAACTTCATTTATATCAGCAAGTCCACTATACTAATTGGATACATTTTTAATGTATATCAGCAGTGTGACTATTCTCAGGTCTTAAGGAACTCCCGGAGTATTCTGTTCCACATTTTCTTTGTCACCTGTTTGTTGGTTTGTTTAAAGATAGGTTCGTTTAGTTCAATTTGTGTAGTCTACGAACCTTCACAGATGGTTAATCTTATCTTTCCGATATTAGTGTTATATTATTGCCACATTTTCATTGTCAACTATTTAATTGCTTAGTTGGCGACAGCTCGGTTAAGTCTAATTTGTATTTAAATCAAGATTATTTAGTAGCTGTTAGCCTTCCCGTTATCTATTATCAAAGATAAGGACAAGAATACAGAAAATGGATGACAATTTTATTTTTATCAGACTGGTGGTAGCAGTAGCAGTAACAGTATTGTGAGAGATTTTTATTTCACCAGTCATTCTCTATTATCATTCTCTACTATTCTCTATTGAACAAAAGCCAAAAGCCTTGAGACATCTTCTCTGTGACTATTTATAATCGATAATATCAAATGTATACAGACGATAATATTGTATTTGAAAGACGTACCGTAGATGAGATGTGTTATTTGAAGGTATTTAATTTAAATATCTGTTAGGACCACACGCAATGGCTTAAGTACAAAATCTGCAAGAACTTTTTGCATGGCGTTTTCTTTTCGTATTAGTTAATCAGCTTTTTTGTTTTCCTTAGTATTTCAATGCACCGGGATCCAGATGAAAGAAATTTTATGACTTTGTTCAAAGAGTTGAGCTTTTTCTGTTTTATTCCAATAGGTAGGAGATTGAAATGTCTAAATTACAAACTTAGTTGCTTAGAAAACTGTAGTCATGCACGCAATCGGTTAGTGAGAACGATTTTTTAATAGTATCTTTATATTCCGACCTTCATTTAGGAGTTTCGCTATTATTTTATAGCATTGCTGTGGGTGCTTAAGTTTTATTGGATATGTCTATGGCTTACTATATTCTTCATATTTTATGTGATATGTATTAAATATCACTTCGATATCTGTATCTTTATTTCTGTTTAATCCATTCGTTTAGTTAAGAGCTTCCATGCTTTTGCATTAGAGAAAATGAGTTTAAAATCTATCAACTTTAAGCTTGTTAAGAAAACTTCAATTTTATTATTAATTTTTTTATTATTACATAATTTTAGTCATATTTTAGTTATAAAATTATGATGTTATATAAAATAAATTCTTAGATTTCCAATATTTAAGAATTTTCAAAAATTTATAGAGCTTGATACTCAAGCCACATATCTCCACTCAAACCCATAACAAAATCCACAGCATCAGGCTTCTTTTCTTCTATTGTCCTAGCGCAGCTTTTAATACGATACTCTTTTAAGATTTGTACAATGCTTGCCTTGAGACCAAATAGGGCCAAACGCATACCTAGAAGGATTTAAAAGTTGATAGTGAACAACAAAAAATCTAATAGGCACAGCAGTTACTGTCAACACTATATACAATACATTAAATAAATATTTTTATATATGTTAAGTTATGTATAGAAAATAGTGCCATATATATTAGAAAAGGACTCCTCACCTATACAAATTCTTGGACCGTCACCAAAAGCCATAAAAATACCCTTCTTCGTTAATTCGACATGTGCAGCTTTATCAAAACGTTCTGGATTGTAGGTATATGGTTTCGGGAAGAATTCCTCATCATGATGATAGGAAAATATAGGAATTGTAACTATTGTTCCGGGTTTCACTGTAATGGCCTTATCTTGTGTAAATTCTATTTTTGTTTCAGTAGTACAAATGCGTGAATAAACTGGAATGGGTGTTATTAGCCGCATAGTTTCTGTCAAAGAATTGTGAATAGTAAAAGAGTTAAAAGAAAAAATTATTTACTGCCCAAAAAAATACCTTGTACACACTGTTCCAGATATGTTAAATTATGTAAAGTCTCGAAGGTTATAAACCCATCATCACCTAAATTATTCAGAATTTCTGCACGTAGCTTCTCCTGCACTTCTGGATGTTTTGCTAACTTTAGAAACAAATAAATAAATTAGCGTATGGGAAATATTTCTTAAAACTTACTTACATAAAATAGACAATGATGTAGAACTGTTGCTGTAGTTTCAAATCCATCCAGCATAGCTGTCATTATATGCCCAACAATATCATCATGTGATATATGTTTTTTGTCTTGTAATTGTATTAAATAATTTAAGAAATCAGCACGTTCTGTACTTTTATCCTTGAGTCTCATATGTATTGCATCTTTAGTTATTTGCGAAAAGAAATTATCGGTCTTATCAGCGAAAATTCTTATATTGAAAAAACGTTTTAAAAACGGCGCATAGGAGAGTAAAAAGTACAATCCAACACCGCTTAGGAATTGTGTCAACAGATCTCTTAACATTCTTCTCATAGTTTTGGAGCTATCGGAATCTGTAAATGAACCTGCATCGATGCCCCAGACGAAGTCACTCATCACATTGGAAGTAAAACGATAGCTTAACTAAAATAATGTAGAATAGTTAAAATCATAATTTTTTATCAATAATATTTTATTTACGTCTTTTGTTTCTATGATTGCATTACCCTTTTCGATATTATCCTTGATGTATTTAGTCATTTTGTTTAAAGTTGATTGCCAAATGGGATATGCCAGATTTAGCTAAAAGGATGAAAGTAAAGAATTGTTTTTTATATTTAGAGAATGTTATAATGTGATTGAGATTGAGATTGAAACAGTTAGCACATCTTAAACTTCTTTTATTTTGAGACACCAATAAATCATATTGAGATGGCATTTCAAGCAGCAGTGTCTTTGCAGAAAACTATCAGAATTTTAATATGCTCCGAGTTCCGTTTTCATTGACAGGTAAAGAAATGAATAATGTAGTCAATGAATCTACTCAAGAAAGGATACGTCTGATACTGCTTTTGGACATTCAAAGAGTATGTGCTCATATATTTCAACATCCATATCATAGCATTGACAGGTATTAGTGTTTGAGAGACCAATCGACTTTGTAAAGAAGGTAAGTAATCGGTAGTGTCTTGTCAGAATATTTTATTAACAACTAAAAATATAAATAAATGACAGAGTTTTGGGCCTCTATTTAAAGTGGAACACTCCTGGATGTCGGTTATAATGATTGATAAGCAGATTAATTTTGATTGCTTAGAAAAAGCGATTTATTTATGTTAATGTAGCTATTAATTTACTAACTAAATTGTGAAGTAACAATTTGTTAAAAATTTGTAAGTAACAATTGGTTATAATTAAGTAATAATTTGTTAAAAATTATTAAGTACCAAATTGTTGCAAATTATTCAAACACTTTTGACAAACTATTCAGACAAAATATTGAGTAACAATTTAACTGCTTATATTGAAAACTGGTTATGATGCATTAATTTACCGATAGGTCTCAATTATATATACATTATTTCTTCCAGAGGTACTTAGTTAGTAAGGTACTTAGTTCGTAAGTTTCTCTTCTGAATGCTCTAATGAACACTTCCTTACCTTACTTAGTGTTACTCCTCCTAGAGTTTCAGCACGTTTTTCCTTCCAAGCATCTCCAGTTTGAAAAAATGGATTTCGTTCTGCAATTTTATCTTTTTTTCTATCTACAATCTACAAATACAGATTTCAGTTAGTTCATATACACAATATTAGTTAACTTATTATTTTATGTGGAAAGTTTTCATAAATATTTACACTAAAAACTTACCCATTGACTAGCTGTGTTATCCCTGAATTTGCTAAAATTTGTTACCATCACATCATGAGCTAGCATTGGATCCAAGAGCAGAATTTCAGGCTTTAGCAGTTCAAAGACACCAACTGCTCGATATTTAGTTTTATATTCACTAATATAAAAATTATTAACATAAAATTATACATTTAATTGAAATTCTTACTGATAGACTTCTTCGTGATCATACACAAAATGCCGTTTCTGTTTTAATAAATTTGGAAAATTTCCATAGATAAATTTTGGTTTTGGGCCAGGTAAACCAAGTTTTTTCCATGTATCGTTTTGCCATGTTAAGTATTTGTAAATTAATCCTAAAACTGTTACTAAGAGTACCGAAGTTATGAGTATTGTCTCAGTCATAGTCAGTCACGCACGATAGGTAAATGTCCACTGAAATGATTTGCACTTTATTTAAAAAATTGTTATTAAAATCTATGGAATAATACTAAAATTATTTATTTATTAATTTTTTTTAACATATTTTTTTGCTGATAAGAAATATTGCTGAAGTAATTAAACTACTGTCACCTCACTGTGCCCTATGATGTGTATTTTTTTGTTAAATTTTAATAGTTTATTGTTAAGTCTTAAATTTAATCTGACATCATTATTAAACAAAATGTTGCTTATTGCACTTAATTTGTACTAAATTGTTGATAATATAAACAATAAATAAATAAATTTCTCAAGCTCTCGTTCTCTCAACATCTCAAGTTCTCTCTAATTCTAAACTCTCTAATTTTTTTTATGCCAGTTGAGAAGAATCTGATAAGAATTGTTTACAAAGTGCTAAGTAATTGATAAGAAGTATCATATTCGTATAGTACGATTCGCATAAAATACTCTATACCTGCCAATGCCCTACAATCAGATTATTTTGATTTTGTTTTAGTTTACGTTAATTGTATAATGTATGATCAAAAATTGAAAATTCCAAAGAAATTCCAAATTTTTGAATAAGTATTATTTATTTAATGTTCGAAGTTTATTTCATATCCCAAAAATACATTGTGACCGAAAAGCTTCCGGAAATTTTAAATAAAACGCAAAATTCTTAATCTTCATCAATATTTATTTTATCTCCTTCAAAATATGCTCCATTAGAAGCGATACACAAATGCCAACGTTTCTTCCAATCATCAAAACATTTTTTATAGGCGCTTTCCGGTATGGCTTTGAGTTCCCTCTGCGAATTCTGTTTTACGTCTTCTATGGATTCAAAACGCGTTCCTCTGAGTGGTAATTTGAGGTTGGGAAACAGGAAAAAGTCACACGGTGCAAGATCAGGTGAATACGGTGGCTGTTCGATGGTATTTATTGAATGTTTGGCCTTAAAATCGTTGATAATGTTGAACAAATTGAGGTGAATCGGAACAAGCCGGGCGTTGACACGTCGCATACACAAATTGTCCACCAAAATCAAACGAGCCATCTCACGACCGATGCCTAGCTCTCGTGCTATCTCTCTAACACTCACATGAGGATTTTTGAACACGATTTCCTTTGCCTTTTCAATGTTTTCGTCGGTGGTAGAGGTCGAAGGTCGTCCAGAACGCGGCATGTCTTCGACGGTCGTACGACAGTCCTGAAAGGCTTTGTACCACTCATAAACTTGAGTTTTCGATAAAACTGATTCCCCATAAGCCTTTTGTAGCATTCGCAACGATTCTGCACACGAAATTTCGTTCGAAAAACAAAATTTGATGCAAACTCTTTGTTCAATATTTTTTTCCATTGTTTTTTTCGCAACGCACTACTGAGGTGAACTGGTTTCAACAGCTGCCGTAAACGAACTGTCCGACAGATCGCGCTCATTTTGGCATAGTAATTAAGGACAGTGCTGCCAAACTACATAAACTTAAAATATCGAAAAATATACAGCGCGCGAATTTTAAATGAGAACCTCCGAAAACTTTTCGGTCACAATGTATAGTTGGGAGTCCACCTTATCACCTTACCATTTAGTGATGCAAAAAAAATCTTATAATTTCCGGACAATACCTATCATTAATATTTTTATTAAAGTTGGTCTTAGGCTATTTTTGGTGAGGTTGGTGTGGTTAACCGGTCAAGTTAACCAGTTTCAACCACTACGGCACCGTTATGATACCACTGTGTAACAAGTGACCTTAATTGTTTTTCTAATGGAACAAATGTAGGCTCTTATAAATTGCAAGATATTTTTAATTATAACACTTTAAGCCAAAGAACAAAAGATAAGTTTATTTAAGGATTTCACTCAACTCTGAATTTAGTAGAATAGTCTGAAGCTACGAGAAAACGCACAATTGGTTATAAATACGAGTATTCTCATCTGGTAATATTCGGGATGGGGGTATTTATAGCCAGTTGTGTGATTTCTCATAGCTTAAGCTTATGCTGCTTAATTCATTGACTAAAGATGTTAGGCTATGAAACTTAATATGCAGTGAATTTGTTTTTTTTATTATGAAACATTTTTTTTTATTGTAAAATATTTAATTTCTAAACAGTAGTCACTTTACTGTAGTGATCACTTTGACAGTTTTTATCAAGCATTTTTTTGAGAAGGTGTGTTAACTTCACTAATCTATCTTTTAGATTACCACATAGGTGTGTTAACTTCACTAATCTATCTTTTAGATTACCACATAGGTGTGTTAACTTCACTGCTATCTTTTAGATTACCACATACGCTTACAATGCTTATCAGCTCCATACTATTTATACTGTTGTAGAACGATACAATATGAAAACAACAACTATCCACAATATATAGGGTTATTGATTTTGCGGATAATGAAGCATAGGTATAGAGTATGTTCACTTCTGAATTAATAATTCTTCTTTTAGTAACGAGCTTCTTCAATTTTCTGAACAATCAATATCTTGCTGTTAATATAAACGAAGATGATCTGATACGAGAAGACTACTATTATAAATTTTAGCGAATATTTACACTAAAATATTTTAATAGTCCATCGTTCAGACATTTATAATGTGAAAGTTTTTCCGTTCATCAAGCTTGAATTATCAATTATGCATGAAATTAGTTATCATTTTACTAACTTTCTTGGAAAGACAGCGCTGATATTGGTTTCCCGTTAATTGGATATAAACGGAAATGATTTTGCAGAATATTCCATTTTAGTCAGCATAAAACAAGTAATCGAAACGGCGATGAAGCCACCGTAATCATAAATAATTATATCTATCATCGCAAAGCGAACACGACTGTTCTTATTGGGCTCTGGTATAGTAACACTGAAATAGGGTTTTGAAAGTATATTAAGCTAAGCGTTATACTGATATGTGAATGAAAATTAATAGATCTAATAGAAAAATTAGTCTATAGTTACAACTTGTACAAAATTTCTAGAAATAATTCATTTTTTGATAATAGTTGTTTATATTTTTTAAATACAAAACACATTTTTATGTCATAAGTGTATTAATATTGACTTCCAGCACCACATTTTTATATTCTCTTAAACTTATTCATTTATATTAAAATATACATTTCCTTTCAGACACTAATAACCCCATACTTTAATTCCATTATATAACCTTTTTCTTTGCATATATTAGTTTAGAAAAGTGTTACGAAATAGCTTAATTGTGATTCCTAAAGTCCTTTTTTTCAATAGAATTTTTCTGTTCTCAGTTAACTTATATGTGCAACTTCTTTATGTTAAATTATATGATTGCTTTGTTATCGAATTCCAAGTTACTGACGCAGAACTGTTCCAAAAAGTTTTTATATAAAGTCATATATATATATATTAATCATACTAATCAAATATAAGGTGTAAATATATCTATTTTGCGGTCTGTTTGGGATACAATGTTTTAGTTACTTATATCAAACAACACTGCCATCCAAAACATTACATATTCTATTCAAAAGTTCACCATTTTGTAATATGGATCCTTAACTGCTGATTAGGTGCTCGTCAATGGTTGCGTTCTGATGTTCAGCAAACAATATTCTCGCACCTGGGACAGTAATAATCGACAACTACATATATGTATAGTTGATCGTTTGGTTTGAAGGTATCCGTACTTTTTTGAAAATAATGAAAGCTTCACATAAATTGTCAATTGTGATTCTTACCGCCTCAGGTTAACTAGTTTTTTACTAGTTCTTCTTGGTTTTGATTTCAAAAAATGAATATGAAAGATCTGTAGTCTCTCGCTAGTTTTGGGTGTTGATCAAGACCTGCTAGAAATATTTGGGATGTTTGTTAATGTGAATTAATCACCGTAGTCATTTGTACGATTACATAAAGAATTGTGTTATTTGAACATTCCTCAAACTCCCGACGCTTCGAAAATGAACTTCCATCAAGTTGTACTCGTTCAGACACTTGTTAAGTTGCAAATCATTTTCTCTCATTGAGTACTTACTTATATTTATATTGTCAAATTATTTAATGGAAAAATTTTCATTTTAATAATAAAAATTTTGTACATAATCCGTAAGGACATAATCTGTGTCAAGAGAGCCACGGTTGTAGAGCGTCATGATCAGGACAGTCGAACGCGTTCATCGAATCATAGCGTGCGATGTTGAGAGAGTTTGAAACGTATGGCTTGGATAATATTTGTAGTTATGGTTCTGGGGGGAAGAGACGCTGGGAAAGAAAAATGCTATAAGTTTATTAATAGGGCACAATAAATCTCCAGCTCGCACTGCAAGTTCGCCAAAAGTAACAATAATTTCTTATTAACTATAATATGTTAAAGAAATTAATTGTAAAATACACGACTTCTTAAATTCATTGCAATTAATTAAAAATTTTAAACATTTAATTTCGGTGAGACTCTTTTTACTCCGCTATATATTTGCCCTGCATGCAATACTCAGTACTTCTGCTTTCTAATTTATACCTTCCATCTCACATGTCACATGTCACAAGTCAGTTTATGGTCATTAAGTCACACGTCACACGTAAACACTACACAAATACATTCACACATACGTACATGCAAAATGAAGACTACTATGTGTTAAAGTTTTCCGCTGATTGTGAGGAAAGTTTTTCTATATACAATTTTCGTCCTTCGTCCCTCATCTTTTTATTCCAACATCACGATTTGACATTGTTGCGGATGTTGGCTTTTTATTAAGCTTGTCTCCGACTCTGTATTTGTTCAATATTGTATGTGACATCTGTAAATGTCACTTAGTTGTCACCGTTTTTACTTGTGTTCATTTTATTAGTAGCTTTTGTATTTCTATTTGAGAAAATAAAAAATAAAAATACAAAAGAATTGGAAAATAGAAAATTGAGTGAATACTTTGTCTGCTAAGAAGATATTAAATAATTTTATTGATATAATTTATATATATAATTTAGTTAATTCTAGATTAAAATGCCTACTTCAGGGTTTTTAAAGCTTCATATTCTAACCACATCTCCCCACTTAAGCCCATAGCAAAATCCACTGCATCGGGTTTCTTTTCGTCCATAGTTTTGGAACAACTTTTGACACGATATTCTTTAAGAATTTGCACAAGACTTGCTTTGACTCCCAGTTGACCCATACGCATACCTGAAAGCGGCATATTATTACATATATTACTATATATTACTGAATTACATTACATAAACAAAAAATTATAATTTTCATATAATTGGGTAATAGTGAGAAAATTTTTATAACAAAAAAATTTTTTTTGAATTTTTATCAAGTCAATTTTACAGCTATATCGGTTATTGCTAAATATTCACCAACAACGACTTCCGAAAATTGAGTTCAATTTGTATTGTTTGCATTTAGTGTTTTATCAAATGTAGTTGCAATGTTATTAATCAGAGCTAACGCATAAACCACAGCTACATCAATTTACTTAATTATTGTGATTTATTGTTATATCAAACTTAAACACTATTACTTTCTTTTTTAACCGAAATATATATCTTCTCATCGGAAGAATATGATATATCTCCTCAAATAATTTTTATTTATTTCAATAGAAGAATATATCTATATCTATTGAAAAGATATAGGACTATATCTTCTCAATTTAATTTTTTTATTTCTTTTATTATGAAATGAAATTTATTATTTTATTTTATGTGATGTAATATAGAATACCGAATTTACCTAAGCAAATTCTTGGACCGTCTCCATAAGGCATAAAAATACCTCTCTTTGTTAGTTCAATATGTTCAGCATTACCAAAACGTTCTGGATTGTAGGTATATGGTTCCGAAAAGAATTCTTCATCATGATGATAGGAATAAATTGGTATTGTCATTACCATACCTGGTTTAATATTTACAGTCTTCTTATTATCAAACTCAAGTACGGTTTCTGTAGTACAAATTCGGGAATATACAGGTATGGGCGTTATAATACGTATAGTTTCTGTTAGAATATATAAAGAAGAGTTTTCATATCAGATGAAATATGTATTAATTATAAAAAAAAATTTTTTACTGCACCTTGCAGACATTGTTCTAGATATGGTAAATTAAGTAAAGTATCAAAATTAATAAAACCATCTTCAGCCAAATTGTCATTAATTTCCGATCTCAACTTTTCTTGTACTTCAGGATGTTTCGCCAACTTTTAGAAAAAAAATTAGATGGCGAATAATAAATTGTTTAAGGTTTTTATTTACATAAAACAGGCAATGATGTAGTACAGTCCCTGTGGTTTCATAACCATCTAGCATACCCGTCATTATATGTCCGACCACATCATCGTGCGATAATTGTTTTTTCTCCTTTAATTGCAGGACATAACTTAAGAAATCCGCACGTTCTGTATTTTTATCCTTTGCACGCATTTCGATAGCAACTTTTGTAAGTTGAGAGAAAAATTTATCTGTCTTTTCCGGAAAAACTCTTATATTGAAGAATCTTTTAATAAAGGGCACAAAAGAAAAAGCGTAGTAGAGTATAGTGGCATAGACAACTTGATTTATCATATCTTTTAACATTGTTAACATAGTTTTTCCACCTTCCGAATTTGTAAAAGATCCTGCATCGATACCCCAAAGGAAGTCACTCATCACATTCGATGTAAAGCGATAGCTTAACTAAATAATGAAATGTGAGGAAGGTAGATAATATATTTTGTAATATAGTTGCAATAGTTCCAACTTACATCTTTTGTTTCTATAACTGCATTACCATTTTTAATATTATCCTCAATGTATTTAGTCATTTTAAGCAAAGTCGATTTCCAAATTGGATATGCCTGATTCAACTGCGAAGATAGAAATGGAATAGTTGATGTTAGCACAAAGGAATAAATTATTAAAAAAAAATATCTCATATAAATATTGATGTTGATAGTAAACGAATGGATACTTGAGTGATGGATATTTGAATATTTCTTAAGAATTTTTCATACCTTACTTAATGTCACACCTCCAACATTCTCAGCACGTTTTTCCTTCCAAGCATTACCATTCTGGAAAAATGGAATTCGTTCTGCTACCTTATCAGCTTTTTTGTTTGTAATCTGTATGTATGAAAGTATGTAAATATAATATAAAATACTTAGAATTTGGAGTTTAAAATTATAATTAAAATCAATAACTAAATCCGCAAATTGCTAATGGTGGCTGCCTAAATACAGTATCTGGAATAACTACAAGGTCAACCAAAAAAATTAATTAAATAAAAAAATTAGTTTTCATCATTAAATTTTCTCACTATTAACCCGGATTCACATCACTCTAATAGCGCGGGACATAACATTTCGCTTGATCTTGTAGTTTTAAGTACCACCAGGGTGTGTTCTAAAAACAAATTCTAGAATTGCAGCACAAAAGATCTCACCAAGTCTTGTGGTGCTAAGTACCACTAAGGTATGTTCTTAAAACAAGTTCTAGAATTACAGCGCATAAGATCTCACCAAGTTTTGCGGTTTTCAATACTACAAAGGTGTGTTCTAATAACAAGTTCTTCAGTTACAGTACATAAGATCTCACCAAGTTTTGCGCTTTTAAATACAGCTAAGGTATGTTCTGAAAATAAGTTCTAAAATTACAGGATATAGGACCGCATTAAATTTTGTGTTTTTAAAATGTATTATAAAAACAAGTTTAAAATATCTTTAGGAAATGTTTATTGGCGTTGTTCTAGTCATAAAGTTTCAAGCACTTCTTAATTTGAAAAAATATCAGCTATAAAATCTACATAGAATTATAAATCTATGTAGTAAAGCTATACCTACCTATTTACAAACAAACATGTTAATTCAATTGGAATGCACTAAAAATTGATATATATATATATAAGTGTTTGTATTAGTCACTTTTGAGACATTGATGATTTTTGTGATGAGTTCTTTCAAACACTTTACAAGTGGGTAAATATTGAAAACACTACCAATAATCTTTCCTCTTTTTTTCTGTTCTACGGATTAATATTTTGTTCTATGTTCAGTAAGTTGAAAAAATACTAACTATACATATACTATATATATATACACATATATATGGCCACAAATGTACTTTTTTAACATTTATATAATTATAATAGCTATTTTACAATAAAACTCACCCATCTACTTGCGGTGTTATCCCGAAATTTACTAAAATCCGTTACCATCACTTTATGCGCTAATGCCGGATCCAACAATAAAATTTCTGGATTCCGAAATGCAAATATTCCAACAGCTCGATATTTGGTTTTATACTCACTGATATAGGAATCATTAAATAAAATTGGTTAAATAATTTAAATGCTCACTAATAAATATCATCGTAATCGAATATGAAATGTTGCTTCAGTTTAACCATTTTCGGAATATTGCCGTATATCAAGTGTGGCTTCGGTCCAGGTAACCCTAGTTTTTTCCATTTATCATATTGGTATGTTAATAATTTATAAACCAAGCCAATAATTGATATTAGAAGTACAAAGGTAATGAATATTGCTTCAGCCATACTAGTCTACTAAGCACAAAAACTTCTGCTTACTACGATAATTTAAATAATAATAAAAATTTGTTTTTTAAAATTCCATAAAAACACCCAAAATTATTCTAATTTTTGGTTTATTGATTATATTTTTCTCTTAAATTTTGGGCACTGATAAGATACTCTATATTTATTTCTGTTAATTCTTAATGAGTAAATAATTTTTTTATTTTAATTTTAATTTAACATTGATATTTTTCAACATATAATTTTGTGTGTTATGTACACTTATATTTTCAGAGAGTATTAGAATTTAATCTTTTTTTTAAGAATGATTAAAAATTCTCTCAAATTATTCTGAAGCTCTTTAAAAAATTTGAAAGATAAGACCTGCCACCCATTGTTTTATTTACATTAATTGCTTATAAGTTGATAACATATTTTAGATAAGATAAATCGATTATATCGAATTATTAAATTGTTTATGCTTGATACTAAATACTGATTGCTCTGCAATTATCGAAATTAATTATATTAAGTTAAAACTATCAACTAAACTTTTGTTTTCACATAGGTATGTGATTTATGTTATGTCATGTTATATTTTATGTTAAGTTATGCTATGTTATGTTATAATATATGTTATGCTATATCTTATGTTAAGCCTTGTCATGTTGTTTGTTTTGTTATGTTATATGGTTTTTATATAATTTGACTATATAGAAAATATAATTTATATAAATATGTATAACGTATAAATAAGTTTGCTCCTCCTTAAGGGTTAATGCTGATTATATCCTTTAATTTGTTTTGAGTACTGATTTATAGAATATGATCGATTTGATTTATTATACAAAGTGTTAAGTATTAGTTGGTCAATTTTATGACAGCTCTTGGTTCATTAGAAAGTGGTAATCGTCACCAACTCGTTGTGGTCCAAGCGTCTTCCGGAAAACCTTTCTCTTGAAAGGAGGAAAGTTTGACCGTTCTGTGATTGTGTCTATGTTTCTACGTCACACAAAAGTGACATATAGAGCGTAAGCTTGTCTGTTAAGAGTTGTCCATTAAGCCCATGGAAGCATTTATTGGCAATGGTAATTCTTCGTCTGAACTCTAGGCTAACATCTTTTTAGTTTATTATGGCGGTGTCAAGATAGATGTAATCATTGATCGACTCAAAATTATAGTCGCTAATCAACTAACTGCAGAAATTGGCGTGACGCACATTTCTACTAGTAACCATCATATACATCGTTTTATCCTCAATCGCAGATTTCTTTTCGATTGCAGAAAAAACCATGCTTGCTGCGTTCTATGATGCCGATATCGTCGACGTTAGCACAGAGCTAGACATATTTGTAGAATAAGATTGTACTGTGCGACATGTACATTTATTGAAGGCTTTTGTCAGCTGGATAAATGCATTTTTTTCATAGAGGGACCGGTTATTCCGGGAACATATCCGTTAATCATTTCGTTTACCAGGGTCGTCAGCTGTCAGTTTTCACTTCCGAGATGACCTTACATCTTTGACTAGCAGCTAATTTTAGAAACGGGAGTCAAACACGGTGCACAGTCGAAATTTAAGGACTTGGAGATATAACTTATTATACACATTATTAGTTCGTCAACCAGGGGGTACTAGCTAACTTTCCAGGGGTATCACGTGTCCAGCTTTGCAAAAGCTTTGGATTGATTAAGACATAAATTGGTATTTTCAAAGTTAAATGTATGTAGCTTTGTGTACTAGCTTCAAGGGGCTTGCGGGCCCCTTGAAACATAAATATTAACTGAGGAAACTTATAGTAAGTTTTATAGTTTTTAAAATAATAATAGTATGTTAAGCCAATAAAAGTAAATAAATTATAAATGACTTTATGAATATAAAATATTACAATTTACTAGAAATTCTGATTAAAGTCATTAACTAATGAAATTGAAATACTTTTTCTATAATCCCATACCACCAATCTTATGAATATAGTTCATTATAAGTTTTTTCATTAAACCAACTTTACTCATTAAAAGGAACAACTGAGCTCAATCCGCTTACGCACTTGCCAATATCTTCAGCACCGCATATGTCTCGCCCATCGACTTATAATTTTATATGTAATTTGTTACATTTTAATGAGAAAAAATTAATTAAAGAAATTGACTGCATTTACTGAACCATAAAATTGCAAACATTTAGTGCTGCACCATTGCACTACTGCCCTTGTACAGTCGTCCCCCTCATGCTTTTACCCACTTACCAATGCAATTTTCAGGGTTTTGTGTGTGTGAGTGTGCATTGCCGCTGCTGCCAACAAATACAATAAACTAGCTATTTGACCATTTAAACATGTGTTCACCGCGTCCTTCAACTTGTTTACCGCTTTTCTTTAACTTCTACTACATTTCTTCACCTCTCCTCTCCTTCCTTGTTGGGAAGTGTCACTAAGCAAAATAAGAAGTTTACAAGCGCAAATAAAGAAATAAATTACATTGCACACTGTGGGGTTGCTGTGTGGGTGAGTAATTCCTTGTGAATGCGTATGTGTGTTTTTGTTTTATTTTTTTTGTTTTTGTTTTTGTTTTCGAGTGCACTTTCAATTTAGCAATGCGTTCAAGCATAAAAACCAGATTGCAACACAATTACGCAAAGTGCCATTCAACATGCTGGCTTTAAAGTGAATTACAATAACAAAATGTAGTGCAACGTTTTGCAGATATAATCAAACATTATCGGAAGTGCTTATGATTGTTTTGCTTTTTAATATCTTTTATTTATTCTTTTTATTTTCCTCTTGTTTACTTTAATTTTCTGCTTGTATTAGTTTCTCTTGGTACTTTCAATAATTCTTGAATTGAATGTTGCACTACATACTAAAGTAGGTCTTGATGGTAATGTCTATACAGAATTAATGTTAATGACGTAATCAGTTGTGTTGAATTTAAAAACTCACCACAGCTAAAACTCAAAGAAGAGCTTTAAATGATACACTTTTAATATTTATAATATGAATACTAGTGAATGAAATATGAATATAAACTAGAAGTAAATGTGTTTCTAATAATAATAAATTTATCATTATTTATTTTATTATAATTTTGTGTAAGGGATAAGTGTTTCAAATGGGTGGAATTTAATAAAAATTTTCTAAATCTAAATATTATAGTGTAAATATTTGTCTCACCAAATTTCACTTTTTACCAATACTAGTTTCTAAAATTATCGAAAAAAATTGAAAAGTTAACCATGTTAAAATTTGATGATGTAGTTTTAATTTCACCAAACTATTGCCTCGACAAGCAGGTTCGATGTGACACCGGTTAATCCCAGTAAGTCCTCAAACTTATTAGCATTATTTCAATAATTTTATCGGTCCAAAAAATTTTTATAACTTTGTTAGAGAAACGCCGTCAATAGATAATATATCATCTTAGTAATCATAACTTCATAAAGTTATTGTTTTTTCACTATTCCCTAGAGAGATTACTAGGTTTATAATGATATGGATGTGGATCTAACATGTTTTGTTGAGCTTAATTTCAAAATTTATCAATTAGAAACTGAAATTAAAACTTCAAATATTCCAAACTTCAATGCTTAAACATTTCAATTGTTGTCTTATAATCTAGCCTCCAGATACAAGTGGTAGTTGGTTGGATACAGTGGCTGGTTAGCAGATAAATCTTAATTAGTATTTTTTTAAAAAATTTGAGACTCATTTTTCGTCCTCCACACAACTGTGACTGGACTGATTAAACAGATTCAATCTTCTAGTATGGTTTCCTAATCGACCCAGGCACAACAGTCACAACAAACCCACCACAAGACTGATATCTTTACGGAGAGTGCCGTAATCTCAATGAGAGTGCTAGATTTGTCTTTAAAATAACGTAACCAAATTGTTTACAGAAGTCTGTATATCTGTATATCGTGTCCTATAGATTTTACACACCAAGAACAAAATTTGCATAATGTCAACGTTATACTCATGTTCCGAATAATTACCTGAAGCACCCTGTCTGACCAGGAATACACAATAAAAACATATTAAAAGCCATCTTGGATGTAAATTGGACCGAACTTAGAATATTTAAAGCACTTTGGCTATCTGACAGTATATATATAATTCTATTAAACATAGTATCCACTTCCAGATAAGCTGTTGCTTTCGCCTGAACAATAATATTTAATCATTTTTGTGTGTTATTTGTCTTTCAATTTATGATAATATACTTTTCCTTCGGTATGCAAAGTCTATTATGACCGATTATAGTTCAACATTCCCACTCACATCCACATGCTTGATTGTGCATTTCGTCTTAATGCGCTTATTGCTGCTTCAACTGTTGTTTTAAGAATATTTTTTTTTCTCCATCATTGTTGTTGTTATTGTTGTTGTTGCTCATTTAGTTTTAAAGTTGTTGTTTCTGTTCTGTTATTGAAAACTTCAAAGTGTTTTTCAGTGTAACATGGTTTTTGTTTTTGTTTGTGTAGTTTTCAATTGTTCAGCATACAATTAAATGAAATTGTGTGTGTAAGTGTGAGTGAAGCTCAAGGGTTGCACACGAAAGAGCTGTGGGATGAATTAGCGGCATTAGATTTGATTGGGTGGTTGCACTTGTTTGGCACGCGTTTCTTTTGGGTCTGTGTATAGTTGTGTGTGTGTTTTGTACAATTATAAACATTTACGCAATGAAATTAATGCTTACAGTGTTCGTTCCCTTGTTCCCTTCTTGCGATGCAAACGCAAAGAATTACATTACACCGGCTGCTTTTAATTGTGCAATGAAGCAGATGCCGCGTGTGCTTGCATTGACGTCATTTTTAATTCATTTGCAATTTCATTTGTAAATTTAAATGCCATTTTCGGTTGTCTAATATTGAATTTTATGTATTTCGTTGAATTCTTCCTTAAGGCAAATTTAATTTCCTCAAAATTTATTCAATTGCACTATGGAAGTATACAAAATTGATTAATTCTCGACTGCGTAACGTCATGAATGCATTGCAAGAAGGATGCTGGCGCTATTCAAAAGACATGCACATTTCG